CAGCCAAGCTTTCCATAAATTAACTTCACCCTTTGTCTCTATCTTTTTTTACTTATTTGTACCTCATTATTAATTGGGCGTGGAAATCCATGCAAATGAGGACATGTCTAATCCTGTCCCTGGTTAGGGATGATAATGATACCTTTTGGGGTTAACAGTAAGAATTCGTGTCATCCGGCAGGTGGAGGAGTGGGCACCTTGTGAAGCGATCTCATCACTGCCATGTGACTTTACTTCGTTTTGTGGCTTTAGCTAAATGAAGACTGCTCCTTTTGAACATCACGCCCCAAAATACTTCTACAAACTTTAGTATAAAATGGGAATAAAAATGCTAAATCTATAATCTTATGATACAAAATAATTGTTGTTATTCTGTCCCTGGGTTGTGAGGTGCTAAATCTCAGCTGCTTTATCACTTCATTATCTGTTTTTTGAAATTAGTGCAAGCGGTGCAGCCCCTAATTAGGCTCATTAAGGATGTTAATTACATACCTGAAACAAGGCCAACAAACAGGACAACCAAGTGCAAGTCCCAGTTTCCCCAAAGGCAGAGCCTGGGTACAGTGTGGCCATAATCCCTTTCACTGCACAGATGCTGTCCTTGGCCTGAGAGAGAGCAGCATCCCACAGGCAAAGACATGTTCTCAGCTGCACAGAGGAGATAACCACACCACACCCATCCAGTCGTCCACCCCCTCCCCTACCAACAACTTGCCTCTGCACGCCATCCATCTCTTCCTGCCCTCCAAGTTTTCTCTCTTGCGACTGTCCATCTCAGCACATGCACTTAAACTGAAGCACAATGGTGCTGAAAACTCACTGGAAAGATCAGGAAGGCGAAAGAAGACAGGAGTTAAAATAAGATTAGACAGTGAAGTGAGAGCTTTTTTTTTTCTTCCTCCTGCTCTGGCATCGGCGACTCGGTTTGTTTCTCTGCTGATCCAGTGGCTTTGAAGTGTGCAGCCTTTGATTTGGACAAAGATTAGGAAATTTGATCTCTATTCTAGAGCTGGCACAAAGGGGCTGTTTTCATGGCCTTAAAAAAATCATCCTGACTAAAAATCAATGGCCGATTTCAGATGGTGCCTTCTCGACTGGGAGTAAAGTACATCATCTCTGGGTATGTCGGCCTGCCTGCAAAGTGTTTATCAGGCAGCCCGCTGGCCAAGGAGATGATTATATTGACTCCACACTCACAGTTCAAAGGAGTTCGACAATGACAAGCATCTAGCAGTGACAACAGGTGGATAGAGAGCTGCGATACTGCATGATGACACACCAGAAGCAATCTCAGCCAAGAGCTCCTGCCACTGCAGATAATAGGGACTGGGACTTCATCATTTGTGGTGTCTCCATAAAAAATAAAGCAGGTGTAGCTCAAGTACACTATGACTCCTTACAGCATAATATTAGGCCTGTTCCCCTTGTAGGAGAGTGTCAGTCCTAAAATAGAGGTTCAGTTTGTGCACGCAAAATGTTTCTTTTCTTACTCCTATCCAGCCATAGTGAGTTTTTGAACTGCACTATCTGTCACTGGGATTTGGATTTATACAGTATCTATGAATAGATACTGTATAAATCTGTTAATGTCCAAAAATGCTTCTGTAATGTTCATACTGAGGAAGCTACGGTATCCATTTAAAATATTTGATTGTATTAGGCCACTGTGGGCAAAGCTGAAAATCAATCAGCAGGCTTGACTTCTAGCAACATTGAGTTTAAAATGATTACTTTACCAAGGGAGGGTTTCTCAGCTGAATATTCACAAAAATGTACTGTAATTTGGTTTACTATATCTATACTGAGACATAAAGACATGCATTGTGAATTAATAATTTCATATTGCCAACCCCTTACACTGGGATGGCAGCACCAATTTAAAATAGCACATACAGCTAAAATGTAAACTGGCTACATAATCCTCTGGGAGTACAGAGTTATTTTGTGTGTATAGGTGTGAGATTTTAGTGAACTGGCACTTAAAAAATAGTATTTATAGGTGCTGAATGGAACAGAACATGTACTCGTTTCTTCATTTTGAAAAAGAATAAACAAAACCGAACATTAGGTCAGGCTTTCCTCGTCTTGTATTATGGTATGAGTGTCATGGACCTGAAAACCGACACCTGCTGGTAAAGATTACATCTGGAAGTCCACTTCCATTACTGTCACTAAACTGCATTTTGTTGCCCCCTGGACCTTAATCAGTGCATACTGTTTTGTTAATGGGAACAAAATGAAAGTGCTGTGTGGTTATGAGCTATTTGCTGAAAAGCTGCATAGTCAGTCTCATAGTTGCCATTTTGGACAAGAAACATTAAAAGCAAGTGATTATATAAGCCAACAATTCAGAGTTCAGAGCAGCTTCTTTTGAAAAGCCCGTTTCACTGCTGGTGTTCAGAGGGAATTCACTTTTTTCCTCCTCAACCTTTTTCTGTCCCCGCGTCTCGCTCTCTGTGTCTCTCCTCCAGCCCAACAGCTGCTTCTCTTTTGGCCAGCCTCCAAATGGATGACTGAGGAGAGTGAATGGGTTTTTAATTTCAGTTGTTAACACTCCTTTCTCTCCCTCAACCTACAGTGCCAACATTGCCAGATAGCAAGAAAACTTGGATCAGGAAGAGGGGGAATAAACATTAGTTTATGAACAACACAAGAGCAGGATCTAAATATCAAATCTTATTTTACTCTTTATTCCTCTATCTCATTCATTAATTCATCTTTAAGGATTTCACTCAGGTATCTCAGCAGAGGTGAGAAGGAATGAAGCAGTAATATTGTTCCGTTACTCTCAAAGGAGAACTGCATACCTCTCTTTAAACTCCAATACCTCGACAGGTGCATTCACGATGCCTCAGGCAAGCTGGCTTCTTCCTTAGCAATAAATGCTGTGCATGTGCTAAGAGAAGCCCACCGGCCACCATCAAATCCTTCTCATGATTCGACCCTTTTCACCTCACATGGACACTTTTATACCACCCATGTGACCTCTCAGTGAGGCAGTACAGCATGTTCAAATGAGGAAATAAGGGAAAGAAACCCCAGAGCAGAGCAACTGTTGCTAGTAAAGAATACTTAAAAAACTGAAGGCATTAAAATGAAAAGTAGGTAGAAGCCGACTGCAAGGAAATGTCTCAGGTTGATAGGTGAGGTCTTCTAATAACAATAGATGATAGAGATGGGCAGAAACAGTAGCGAATGTGTGCACACTCACGTGTTTTCATTCCTTGTGGGGATTTGGAGACATGCTGTCGCCCTAAAATTCAATGATTTACATGGTGGGGACCAGAGGCAGAGTCCCCACAATGTGAGTGCGTTAACATTGTGTTGGTCTCCACAGTGTGGGTAATACCAAGGTCTCACACACACACACACACACACACACACACACACACACACACACACACACAGTATCAAACTCTAACACTTTCAATTTCCTTCAGCTGTTGCCAGGGAAACATTTCAATTAAATGTGTTTCTCAGCCACTTCAAAATGCTCCTGAAATATTCAAGAACTTTGCAAGCTTTGTGATAAATACTGAACAAAACAAAGCAATAAAAAATGTACCATGATTAATAAGCAGCAGCTGGGCCGTGCAAATAAGGCTAATGGTAGAGCTAAATCTGAAATTCAATAGATAGAAAAATGTCCTTGAGGATAGTTTCCACACACCAGAGACACATTAAAAACAGCAGGCAGTGGAGCTGGGAAACTTATAAACAATTGCTGGAGAACGTTACCCCTGCGTGCCTGCTGTATGCACTTGGATGAGTTGTGACATTCATCCCAAGTGAGATGGATTACACAGAGCCAGTTTGATTTGAATAACAAACAATGTACTGGCTCTGACACTGCAGAGGTGCAGGCCTCTGGCAGGCAGTCACCGCAGACTCACCAGATGTTGGGTTTAAAATGTCCACATGTCTCCATGTTGGTCTACCTGTGTGAACATGGTCCAGCTGTGGGATGGAGAGGGTGGAGCACGGCTTGTCTCTGCTGTGCCTGGACTTACACTATGGCAGATTCAGACTCTGGGATCTGGACAATTGTGAAGTGTTGTTACAGTGACTCTTCTAACACTGGGGATGAGGAGAGAAGCTGCACAGTGCAGCCACAGAGTCCAGAACCTTTAATAATGCACTAGAATGAGGAATAAATGATGGGGTGGACACAATTAGCTGGAGATCCTGCACTATATAATCCAAACAAGCACAGTAAAGTTACATACTACAGCCTCAACATTTACATTTAAATGTATATCAAAATCTTCACAAAGGTCGATTTTATTGCTTGGGCATTGTATCAACTTACATTAAATTGCAAGGTATTAGAAAGATTTTACTACTTGCACCACTCCTGCATTGCTATGTTAATTTGGGTCATTAATAAACATACAGGATGTGTGTTGGTTATCAGGTTTCTATGTTTCACATTTTTAATCAGCGTTGTTTTTGTGCACGACAGGTCTGATGGCAAGACATCTTGATTTTAATGATGCCATTAAACAGGTTTAGGCAAATGAAACAATCCAATAACAGTAATTTTGCACATACTGTCAAATCAATGTAGTCGCCAATGAAAGCATCTTGTCAGGCAAATCATGCCAGATTTGAATGAAACAGTTGAACCGCAGACACTGAGGCAATCTGAAAAATAGAGAGCAGAATTTTATTCAGTCATAAATATACATTTAGCTGTAGGTTGAATGTAGAGTAAGTCTC